AAAATCTTGAATTCGCCGTAGCCTTGCTCTGGCCCGAAGGATCCAGTTCTGGACCAGCCAGTCCACGTGGTATCCTGTGCTGTCTTTCTGATTAAGTCTCCTTGTGACCTCACACCGTCAGATTTACCATCAGTGCGTCTACTCACATACTGTCTCCATCTGTTCAGGCTACTGTGATAAGCCACTGTAGACAGGGTAGCGTGTACACAGCAGAAATCTATTTCTCACAGCTCTGGAAGCCGGAAGTTCAAGGTCAAGCCGCCAGCATGGTTGAGTGGGGGCCTTGTTCCAGGTGGCAGACTCCTCTTTGTTGACCTTGTATCCAATACCCTTGTGAAATGTACTTATTATGTAAGCTGGCTAAGGCTGCCATAGCAAATACCGCAGACCGAGCGGCTTAAACAACACATATGTCTTTTCTCACAGTTCTGGAGGCTCGAGGTCCGAGATCAAGGCATCAGCAGGTCTGGTTTCTTCTGAGGCTTCTCTTCTTGCCTTGCAGCCGGGCATCCTCTCCCTGGTTTCTCACATGGTCCTCTCTCTGTGCGTGCACACACCTCTGCCCTAATCTTCTCTTCTTATGAGGACACCAGCCATACTGGCTTAGGGCCCATTTGTGTGAAATCATTTTACCTTAACTACCTCATCAAAGGCCCTATTTCCAACAGTTATTTCTGAGGTAGTACGAGCTAGTACTTCATCATAGAGGTTTTGCGACAACTCAATTATGCTCAGAACACTTATCAAGTCCCATAGTTTATCTCCAGATTATTTTGGATTGTCTAGTTATTGCTGAATAATATATATATTTTGTGTGTGTGTGTGTGTGTGTATTCTACAAAAAGACAAAGAGACTAACCAAACAGAATAAGGCAACAGAATAAAACATTTTAAAAAAACTTACATGTGAACAAATGATTCCTTTTTTTAAAATGTTTTATTTATTATTTTTGAGAGAGAAAGAGACAGAACGCAAGTTAGGGAGGGGCAGAGAGAGAGGGAGACATAGAATCCGAAGCAGGCTCCAGGCTCTGAGCGGTCAGCACAGAGCCGGATGCAGGGCTCAAACTCACAAACCATGAGATGGTGACCTGAGCCCAAGTTGGACACTTAACTGACTGAGCCACCCAGGAGCCCCATGTGAACAAATGATTCCTGATGAAAATGGCATTCTAGAGGGGTGCCTGGGCGGCTCAGCCGGTTAAGTGTCCAACTTCAGCTCAGGTCACAATCTCACGGCTCATGGGTTCAAGCCCCGCGTCCAGCTCTGTGCTGACAGCTCAGAGCCTGGAACCTGCTTCTGATTCTGTGTGTCTTTCTCTCTTTATACCCCTCTCCCACTCGTGCTCTGTCTTTCTCTGTCAAAAAAAAGAAAATGGCATTGTAAAGTGATAATGTGAGAATGATCTTTTCAATAAGCAGTGTTGAGTCTTTGTGTAGAGTCAGTGCAAGGATATTATACAGGAATGAATACAAGCGAAGTTCGACACACAGCATGGACGGCTGTCACCAGCATGACGCTGAGCAGGGTGAAGCAGACATGCACACTCACTTATGATGACATGAAGCCCCAAATCTTGGAGAAACCAAGCCTGGGATTAGAAATGAGAAATGTAGTCGGCTTTCGGGAATTGGGAAGTAGATCTCTGGGCTTTTAGTAATATTCTTTTCTTTTTTTTAATGTTTATTTATTTTTGAGAGAGAGAGACAGAGAGCCAGCAGGGGAGGGACAGAGAGAAGGAGACACAGAATCCAAAGCAGGCTCTAAGCTCTGAGCTGTCAGCACAGAGCCTGACACGGGTCTCGAACCCATGAACCGTGAGATCATGACCTGAGCCGAAGTCAGACGTTTAACTGACTGAGCCACCCAGGCACCCCAAGTAATATTCTTATTCTTGACCTGGGTAGTAGTTATGTGGCACTTTGGAACCATTTATTAACCTATAACCCTTATTTGGTTATCATGAAGTGCATGATATACTTCAATAAAAAAAAAGTTTGAAAGTGTTTGCACTCATTCTGTATTGCTGTGTAACAAATTCTCACAAACCTTCTGGGTTAACGCAACTTCAACTGATCTTCGATCACAATCACCGCAGGTCAGAAGTCCAGCCTGGCTCAACCGTTTCCAGAGCTGCACACACTTCAAAGTGCCTAGGGTCGCTGCATATAGGAAACCTCACTTTAATCCATTTCTGATACGATTTGGGATTTGCATTCAGGCCTTGGGCTTCTGCCTGCTTTTAATTCATTTCAAAACCATTCAGAGCTGTGAAGAATGCTCGGATGTAATCAAATACAAAATCCACTTAGGAAGCACTTTTAAATGAGATTATCCAGGTCTTGTGACCCCCACCACTTGGCTGGAGCCGTGACTCGGCCAGTGGGGTTTCAGGAAGTGACTTCTCCCTCTCCATCAGCACTTTTATTTCTTGGTAAACTAAAATGGTACTTGGCATAGATTTCCGGGCTTGTCTTATGATGGAAGGAGCCAGTGATTCGGAAGCAGGAGATCTCTGTCTCCCCCACCGTGCTCAGCACACAGTAGCCAGTCCGTAAATGTTTGTTGAATTTGATTAGAAGGAGAACAGTTTTGGTGGGAAAGGATTCTTAGTTGTAACCATATCTAAAAGTCTAAATCAGACGTCCAGTAAGTGCATCAAGATTATCTTGTCTTATATGCGGTGAGCTGTCCCCGAATAAGTTGCCCGGAATCAGCAAGGTGTGGAGCATTTGGAATTTCTTTTTTCTTCCCTTCACTGTTTGGGGGAGGGGGCATTCTTTGTTGTGCTTCCTGGCTCCAGATAGGGGAAGCAAGCTGTCTCCCTGCAGAGCCTCTCAAAGACCTTGGCCTCGCCCCACCCCCCTTTCCAAAGCAATGGCTGAGACGTGTTTCCGTCAGCCAGGGATGGGCAGGTGGAGTAGGATTAGCCAGATGGAAGGCAGCCCAGGTCCTGCTGTGCAAGAGGCCGTGGAAGCTGTGATGCTGGGCTGACCAGGCTTCTGGACCCCCTGGCTTGGGGGATAAGGCATTGGGGGAAGGGTGGGCGAAAGACCTGAAAAGAAGCAGCTCACAATACAGTGTCAATAAGACGAGGTCAACTCCAGCAGCAGGGGGGGTGGGGGGTGCGCCTCGGGGGCTCTGGGCTAACCGGAAGCCAGGGAAGGGAGGACTGTCGTCAGGAAAGGGCTTCCCAGAGCAAATGGCAAGAAAGAAGCCAGTTCAAGTTCATTTTAAGAACTACCTGGCAGCTCACAAAGAAACACAACATCCAATAAACCTGGGAGACGACATAAATGCAAACAATGAGATACTATTTTCACACACAGAATTGGTAAAAATTAAGACGTTTTCTGGAGCCAGTTGGCGAGGACAAAGGATACGTGGGGAAGGGAACCAAGCAGGGGGAGGGGGAGTGCAGATTGATGCAACCTCCTTGGAAAATGGTTTGGAAGCGCCCACCCTTTAGCCAGCCCATTCTAGGGCTAGGACTCTCCTGGCTGGAAAAGCTTTCTCCCTCCCAGCGATGAGGCTGTTTGGCTTTCTTACCATTCGTGTGTCCACTGGAGGAGCCCTTTTCATTCTCCTTCAAGAACTTTCCCTTTTTCCCTTCGCATTCACACCTTGGTTAACTGTTGGGCAAAAGGGCTTAGCTCTCAGCCTGTCTCGGCTTTGGACGCGCCTTCCTCGCTAAGCTTTTGATTTGAAGGGAAAGACACGGGACTCTTCCCTTCCCTTGAACACGGAGAGGCCGTTGTAGGCTTATTAGCAGCTGTCCTGATGTCAAGATTGTTGTGTCTCAGGGAACAGGGAGGCCCAAGGAGAGGGGGAAAGATGGAGGGGAGTGGGGCGAACCGCTGGCCGATGCAGGGTTACCGCGAACCTTCAATTTGTTAAAAAAAAAAAAAAAAAGAGGCAACGTCTGCAAAGCGCCATGAAGCGAAGCGTGGTAACAGGAGACGCTCCTGTCTGTACTTTCTTTGCATTTTCTTTGCTTCCTTGCAGTTTCTGGGGCAGGCGATTCGCATTCTCCTAATTGCTGTCCTCCCCCACATCCAGCTCCCAGAGCTCCAAGCTGAGTCCCCCGTCCTCAGTGAAACTCAGCCTGTCACCTGAAGCACTTAACAAGTCAAAAGGCCACACGTTGAGCTTGAAGCTCAGCGGGAGCTGAATAGCCAGTCGAGTGAATGGGCTGCACCCAACCCTTGCTCTGATGGGGTCGTCCCGCCCCGTAAAAAATTATGTTAAATTTAATTCCCCCAAGTTGCGGGTGTGGAAGCAAATAAGGGTGCCTCTCAGCACCTGCGCCCACGGCCTGCGTGCGCCGGGGACCCTGATGCTGCGATGGCCCGACGCAGCCCACTCCTGCCACAGTGGACAGAGAAGGGTGAAAACAGAAGCACAGAAAACCTCACACCTCTGTGCTCACAATGTTAGGCGAACGGCAGACTTTTCCTTTAGAAATTAGAATTAAAGGATATTTAGAAACTGCCCACGACTTTGGTTGTATTTAGTAACGAATGACATCATCTGGGGCACAGAGATGTTAGGTGGGGACTCCGGCTCTGGAGTGCGCCTCTCCAGCTGCAGCGTCTGGGGCTCCGAAGAATCACCAAATAACGGCTGGTGGGGTGACACGGGACACGGAATTGGGGTGGGGGTTATCTCCAGTGTCATGGGGAGTCGGGCGGAAACTCCACTTACCATTCGAGCCGCCTGGAATTTACACTCACCCTCAGGAGGTCAGGAACCCCCAGGGACCCCTGGCAACCCTGAACTTCCCCTTCTGAGGGCTTCCTAGCCTTGCTGCTCTCGCAGGTGGAGACACACCCAACTCGGCCACCTGAGTATGGCCAGGGCAAAGCACTGGGTTCAACACACCTTTTTGGGGGAAAAACAAAGATGAAAGCAAGTTTCAGGTGAAATTTGACAATTAAGTGTCAAGCTCCTTGAGAGACCCGTCCGAGGTGTTTAGGGTTCCTGACCCAAGCAATTACTTTCCACCACTCCTCCAATCTGGAATCACCCACTGGACAGAAAATTGATTTGCTCTTTTTTTTTTTTTAAGAGTAAATCTGATATTTTTAAACGGTAACTAATTGTAGAGACATAAGAGCTAGTTAACCAGCTTACCAGATCCTGCCTTTTCTATCTCTCTTTGTCCCAGGGCTTCGCCGCCTCCCACCTCAGCCCCGGGGAGGTTACCATGGTAATGGGCTTGGGTCTCCGCCTCCGCGCCCACCTGAGGGCCCTCCCTGGCGCCCTGCGTTGTTGTTGAGGAAGGAGAGTCCCCAGCAAGGCTGGTCCCCGGCTTAGGTCAAAGCATTCCTCAGGACTGAGCTCGGCGATGAGCCCCCAGTCTCCCCGGACATCCTGGCTCCTGCTTCTCCTAAGAACTTCTGGGCAAAGCGTCCTTCTCAGCCGGGATACCCTTCTTTCTAAACTCCCATTTTCACTTCAAGAAATCAATGTTTTCCCTTAGGTGTTAGCAATGACTGTGAATTAAAGCCATGCTAACATTGCTACCCTAATGTGTTAGGAGCTATGGACCGCAGAAAGATGGATCGCTTCTCGTGCAGGTATGAACCCATCTTGAATGTGAACTTTTGATCCCTAGAGCTTGCCAGCTTCAGAAATAATGGTCTACGCCTCTGGGTCGTTTGACTTCATCCTGCGCAAACCTTAAAAGAGCCGCCAGCCGTGATGCTGTTTTTCCCGAGAGACCTGGAACTTCACACTTAAGAGTTCCATCCAGCATTGTTGTTGGCTTTGAGCATTTTCAGTTGGGGTAATGGCGCCGTCTATGAAGTGACTAGGGCTTCCCTCTCTTGTGTGAGAAAAGATCAGTATCACAACCACATGAAAACTTGGCTTTTGAGAAGTTGAAAGGCACAGACAGATTCAATATTTGCAGAACCCTGAAGAATGATGGGGGTGGGGGTGGGGGAATTTGTTTTAAGCTTCAAGTCTTCTAAGTGACTGGTTTAAATGAAATGGTTTGTGAGATGTGATTCATCAATTACACAGAATGTTACGGCGTGTTTGTGAAATCGAAACCAAGAGACTTTCGCCTACTTAAGATTATGTATTGATGAGGACAGAGCCTAAGAAGTCATAATACATATTGGAAAGAAATGCCTTTTAGGCAGCTTTTATTCTCAATCATTCTTGATGCTGCTTCATGAATTAGCCATTTAACAAGAAAGGAAAGAGGAACAAAGGTGGCGCTCTACAGTTTCTCCCTAGTGATCTGTGTTGTGATCTCCTTGTGTTGAGAAAGCCCAGGTGTTAACGCGACGAATTTGATTTTCTTTGTTTTGCTAACGGATGTTTGATTTCCTCCTCCCAGTGTGATTTTGATCGTGGCCATTTCCAAAGCGTTTGAACTGAAATTCGTCGCTGCCGGTGAGGGACTGTTTGTTATTTTGATCAGTAGCAATTTTCACGTGGCCTGCAATACTGACCCCACCAAGTTGATTTTGTCCTTCAGGGTTGGGCCACCCCCATGAACTTGCACGTCCCTCTCAGGGAGACCCCGCCTTAAGAGATGACGGCATCCGGTCCCAGGAGGAGCCTGCAGTTCGCCATCGATCTTTGCAGTTGGTGTCGTCCTTTGGAATCCAGGACAGTAAGACCCACCTGCCTTAGGCCTACAGTGTGCTGTCGCCGTCCTGGTCCTCCACGCTTTCTATCTTTCTGACGTTCTGTCTCCTGAGTGGCCACCTGATTCTGAAGCCGGGCGAGTGGTTGGGCTGGTCTTCGCTCTGGAAGGCAGACCCGCAGCGTGCACTTCACCTCCCTGGGACTCGGTTTCCCCCCTGATTCTCTGGGAACGACCCCTGGCCTGAGCACGAAGAAAAGCTTTGCTTGCTCAGAGGTGCAAATAGCAAAGCAACATCCGAAAAAGCAGAGTCCTATTTTGTAAGGGTCACATGCTTAGGCATCTCCAAGCACTGGGGACACCAAGCTGTTAGCCCTGTATTAATAACCTTTGCTTTTCCGGGACCTCAGCTTTTCAGTTCCCCTCTCAGCCGCCTCTTCTTACGTTCCAGGTAAGGAGCTAAACAAAACCTGCTGTCTGAACGGGGGAACCTGCATGCTGGGGTCCTTCTGTGCCTGCCCCCCCTCCTTCTATGGCCGGAACTGTGAGCATGATTCACGCAAAGAGTAAGCAAGCCATTTAAGGGGGAGGGGGTTGGGAGAAAAGGGGGAGGGTGAAAGCCCATATGCGTCACCTTATCTGTTCCTTTTCAGGAACTGTGAGTCTGTGCCCCACGGCACCTGGCTGCCCAAGCGATGTTCCATGTGCAAGTGCTGGCGCGGCCGGCTTCACTGCTTTCCTCAGACCTTTCTCCCGGGGTGTGGTGAGCGGATAGTCCCCTCTTTTGCCATTTCAAGTTAGCTGCCTGTGGCCACCTGGTTAACGGGGTCTCTCCTCTTTCCTCACGGCTTGCTGGATCCTAGCAGCCCAAGTGCTGCTTGTGAAAGCATCAAGGACCCCAGATGGGGTGGGCACGTGTGCGTCCTTTCTATTTATATTTACTGCCTCAGAAATGTCGCCTTCGAGGTGGGCAGTTATTTCAAGCCCATTTGACATTTTATAGTATGTGGGCTTCCTTGCTCCGACCTCTTAAACACCAAGAGATGCCCTCCGTGTCCTTTTCTTGTGGGCAGGGAGACCCACCGACAACTCAGTTAGTGCCCACCTAAGTCCAGTTCATGTCCTTGAATTTCACCTGAGGCTCGACCTCCCTCTTTGGGAACCTCAGGATCCTCAAAGGCCCCCACGTGGATCTCCTGGTGAATGGTCTTGACCTTGTCTTGCTGATTTGTATTGATTTGAGGAAAACAGTAACAAGAAGGGCAGGGGCCCAGGGGAGAGCAAGAGTCCAGAAGTTTCTCTCCTTGCCCCGACCTGAGTCAGATTTCTAGGTGCACCCAAGTTCAGAGGCCTCCCATATTCTGGCCATGTAGATGTTAGAAATTGCAAATGGTCAAGTCCAAAAATGAAATGAAGGCAAAGGCATCCCTTGAGTACAAGATGGGACCCCTGACCCAGATGGGGAGTGTGGCTTTTCCATTTACATCCTGCATGTCAGGCCCAGGATAGGCGTTTGGTGAGCGTGGGTGGGCGGAAACCGCATTTTCTTCCTGGAACCTGGGCCTCAAAATTTGCTGTCTCCTTATCATCAACACCTAACCAAGTTCTGCTGCATCCCGGCCATTTTCACTGGCTGGGGTACGTGTCCAGGTGTGAGAGCACGTGTCCAGGAAAAACCAAGTTAATAGGAGACTTGTGTCAACTTGTGGGGAAAGATGGTTTCTCAGGGGAGTCTCAATTCCATGTAATCGGTGCTGTCGGTCCCAGGAGCACACTGTACTGGTCAAATGTGTGGTCCCAACTGACTTTTGGCCAGTGTAGATATGCCATGTGTGCAGGATCAACTCCTGCAGGGATTTCCTTTAATGACCAAGTGTCCTTACCTTCCAGATGGCCACGTGATGGATGAGTACCTCCTGGTTTCCAGGACTCCAGAATTAACACTGTCTTCAAGCATCACTTTTTCGATAGCTGGCATCTGTCTCGCTATACAAAGTTACTGTTAACAGACATTGGCGGATGCAATATTTGCCATGCAAGTTCCATAACCTGTAAAGGCTGTCACTCTAATGTCCTAACTGAAAGATGATCATTTGTTAGTTGCCTTGAAATGGAGGATGGATTTTCATCACGGTCCCTAGCATTTTCATAAAGTCCCAACTACTTTCCTCTTCCCTCTCCTCTTCAAAAAACTTCTTTAAAAAAGGCCAGCCATACCTACATTGTAGCCAAGTTCTGTTTCTTGGTACACATTTCTCTACCAAAGGTTTCTTCTTATTTTCCTTTAAATAATTGAATTCTATCTTCAGATTATTAAAGGCTACTCTTAACGTGAAACCGAGGCTAAACTGAGGAGTAGAGTTGATCAAAATCAATCAAGAACTCATCTTTAGGGGCGCCTGGGTGGCTCAGTTGGTTAAGCTTCCAACCTCTGCTCAGGTCATGATCTCAGAGTTCGTGAGTTCAAGCCCCACGTCGGGCTCTGTTGACAGCTCAGAGCCTGGAGCCTGCTTTGGATTCTGTGACTCCCTCTCTCCCTACCCCTCCCCTGCTTGCGCTCTGTCCCTCCCTCTCAAAAATAAACATAAAAAAAAATAATAAATTATGTTTTCTCCATACTTTGCAAGTATTTTAACTGTTGTAAAAAGAAAATGTTCACAATATATATATTTAGTTGTAAACCAGGTAGTGAAACTATGTATTGTAAGGCCCATTTTTAAAATATATCATGTGTGTGAGTATGCCCAGTAAAAACTGGTAAATCTATGGACCAAAAGGTGAAATATGCTTATTTCTAAGGCAATGCTGACAGGTGCTTTGTGGTGGTGGGTTTTTTCCCTCCGCACTTTTGTGTTGTCCACAGCGAGGGGGTGCTGCATCTGTTTTCGTGGGGAATGCTGTGACTACATCACACTCAAACCTGAGCCAAAGGCTCAGACCCAGAGTTGTCTCTGGCTCTGGTGTGTGTGCTGTGCTGTGAAAGACATTGGTTTCCACTATTTACGTACTGCTTGGTCCCCAACTCATGCTTCTCCACCTTAATGTCCTTGAGATACAAAATCCCAAAGGGGTGGGATTTTTTTTTTCCAGAATCCAATGGCTGGAAGATGAAATGGAATCTTCAGGAAGCAGTGCAGGGCACCCCAGAGAGCTCAGCGTGGGGGTGGGCTGCCCGGTGTGAAAAGGTAGTCTAGCCACATACTGGCCAAGGGACCCAGTGTCCCCAGCTGCACCTGGGCTGGTCCCTACACCACAGTGTTAGAATTAAGTGAGCCAAAATAGCACTAGTACAGAAATTCTCGACAAATGTCAATTCTCCTCTTTCTACCTGCTTGTTTACCGGAGCATTTTTGCCCAGAAATGGAAATTCATGCAGGTGACGCTGGGACAGTGTCTTCCAAACTTGGGGGCCTCCTCAATTTGAGCCACATCATGCAATTATAATTTTTCATAGCAATTCATTTTTTAAAAATATACATAACATAAAACTTAGCATCTCAACCATTTCTAACTGCAAAGTTCAGTGGCATTCAGTACTTTCACACTGCTGGGCGACCATCCCCACTGATGGAGGTTTCTGGTGAGGGTGAAAAATGACCTGAGCCAATGACCAAAAACGTATTCTTGAAGATGGCTTTGTTGCAAAAAGGTGGTTTTATTAAAGCACGGGGACAGGACCCATGGGCAGGAAGAGCTGCACTGGGGTTGTCACAGGTAACTGATCATATATCTTCAAGTTGGGAGGAGGTTAAGGTAGAGTAAGTCTCTAAGGTATTTCAGAAGCAAGGTTTCCAGGACCTTGAGGGCCCGGTGTTGTTAGGAAGATGCCATTTGTTACCATTTAATAAAACCTCAGTCATGAGACCCTTCAGATGTACATCAGGTGTCATACACTTGGAGTGTGATTCCCAGCATATATCTTGGGGGAGTCGAGATAAAGGATGTTTCCAAAGAAATTTTTATATGTTAAAGTAGACTTACAGGATCGTGGGGGGTCAGGATAATGTGAAGCCAAGATTCTCTTTTGCCCCCAGTAAAGTGTCATCATCGAGGTAACTGAGCTCCTGGAGGGATGTCACGTTCATTAAGAATGAATTATTTGGGAAGGAATTTCATTTTTCATTTGCCTCAGTTTCCCACATCACCATGACCAGCACCTAATCCCCTTTCCTTTGTTCTTGGGTAGCCGGGAGTGTCTGAGGAATATCACACATCTTCCACCTGGAGGGAATTGTGAGGTCCTGGATAATTTGCCCAAGTCTTGAAATTCAAAAGCAGTAATAATCAATCCTAACATTCACCCATACACCATCTAAAATCATGAACCAGATATACATTTTGGGAAATGGTGCTCCCAAGGATATGAAAGACAAGAATCTACCTTCAAAAGCCGTACAGGCTCTTCAAAGGTAAGTGCCCATATGATGAGGGCAGTTCCAGACAACGCGCCCAGTCTCTGGGGGAATAAGTGAATTCATGGGCCCGAGGAGGAGGGAATCCAGGCGTCCGTCACAATCAGCCCCTTGTGCTGTTGATTCTACTTCCTCCAGGATTCCGATTGGTCCTGGGAGAACTTAAAGAGAAGGACTAGTGGAATAGACTGCAGTCTCCAATCTCAGGTACACAGCTGAGTAACGCAGCCCTCTGCTTCTTCCTCTGCCCATTCTACATCCCCTTACTCTGGGCTAGCATGGCTGCTGCTGTATGGGGCTCACCTGGTGGAGGGACTTGACCCTCATCCCTGAAGTCTGTGTTCCTGACCTTCATGCTCTTCTCACCTGTGGCTGCGGTATTTGCCCATTGACCATCTAGTTGGGCAGGGAAGACCAAGACGTGCCCCAGTGAATCACCTGGGCTTTGGACCCCCGACGGCAGCGAACTGTTAGGTGTTCTGTCCTAGGGAGGAAGCATCTCCTGGTTCTAGGTGGTTCCCTTTGAAGGCAATTCCCAACAAGACACAGCTATGAGCCAACACTCTTTTCTGATTCATCCCCCAGGGAATCCTGCCTTCCCACTCCCCACCGCCTTCTCCAGATGCACTCACTCAACACTGGGTCAGTCTAGCTGCTTCAGTAACTAAATAATTGGCTCTTCCCTACTTTTTAAAATTATTATTTATTTATTTTTTGAGAGAGAGAGAGCAAGCATGGGAGGAGCAGAGAGACAGAGACACAGAATCCGAAGCAGGCTCCAAGTTCTAAGCTGTCAGCACAGAGCCAGACATGGGGCTTGAACCCACACACCGTGAGTTCATGACCTGAGCCGAAGTCAGATGCTTAATCGACCCAGCCACCCAGGTGCCCCAGCTCTTCCCTACTTATAACTCCAGTGGTCCATAATCATTTATCTTTCTATCTCATGTTATTTTCTGGAACCATGTATATATCATGTCACCTCAGGACTTTGCTGGTGATATTCAGTGAATAATCATTCAACAATAGATGGGTGATTTCCTTACTTCTTCTCACAGCTTAGATGTTCATTGGGGACCGTGAGCTAGTCCCAATTATTGGCCAGGACCCTCCTCTAGGGATCCCTCTCTCCCTGCAACAAATTCCTAAAACAACCAAAATCAAAACAAGAAGAAAAGAGCACGGAGAATTCAGGGAGTCTGACGACTCCACACTTTTCCTGCGAGACGACCCCCCCCCACGTACCCCCCACAGCAAGAGTGCCTGTTCTCACCCCTTTCCTCACTAGGCTATAAAAAGGGGCAGCAGGAACACAGCCTCTTGGGATGGGGGTGCCTCCAGGTGTCTTCAAACAGTTAGAACACAGGTACATGAGACCACACTGTGTGGGCTTGGAGCTGCCTTTTTTTTTTTTTTTTTTAGTTTATTCATTTATTTTGAGAGAGAGGAAGAGAGAGCGCGCGTGTGCACAGGTCAGGGAGGGGCAGAGACATAATGGGACAGAGGATCCAAAGCAGGCTCTGTGCGGACAGCAGAAAGCCCCATGCTGGGCTCGAACTCGGGAACTGTGAGATCATGACCTGAGCCGAGGTCAGACGCTTAACTGAGCCACCCAGGCACTGCATTTTTTTTTTTTTTTAAAGCTTCACTTTTAAAAATGTCCAAAACTAACAGAATCCTTTGGCCCTACCTTTTCGTCTGCACCAGCATTGGAAGAGTATTCAGCTGTACCAATTTTGCAAACTAGACACATGTATTCCTTTGAGTTAAAAAAAAAAAAAGCATGAAAGAACACTAACCCTGTTTATAAAGGAAGCCAACAGGAGAGAAGGGGAAGGCCCTGGGAAGGGCAGCTAGAGCCAAGGGCACTGAAGAGCAGCTTAAAGACAAAGTGAGGCATGGCCACCAGCTCTTTGCTAAGGAAGGGGCCAAGGGCAGGGCTAAGCGCAGAGCCAAGGGCAGCCCTGACGAGCATCCAAGGACCAGGTGGAGGAAGAAGGAGCAACTCCTGAGAAAACTTCAAGGTGAAGGAAGCTTCTAGAAGGGTGCCAGCCATACTAAGCGTGACAGAGAAGTCAGGAGGAACTGGTTTGAACCCCGATTTAATCAGCAGAGGCAGCCCCTGGTGCACAACAAGGAAGCGTCCTGGGCCCCGCTGGCTATCCCAGGGCTGACAACCTCATGCGCTGGCCAAGGAGCCCAGCAAGAATAAATTCCATACGCTGAAAGCCGGCATAGATTTTGATAAGCCTTCAGAAGTGGTCATGAACTTTCAAAACGTAACGCCCACCCCCAGCCCCTGCCCCTTCCCAGCCGAGGGGCTGGCCCCGTGTAATCCCCAGCATCATGCGTCTGGGAGGTGAGATATGGTTTGGAGCTTCCCAATCCCTCCCAATTTTCCTCTCTCCCACCTCCACCCCCGCAGGACGGACCACATATGAGCCGAACCCTTGCCACGACAGGCCTCTCATATTCCAGAACATTCTATCATGCTGGTTTGTTTTCACATCTATCGCCCCGCACACTGGTCCCTAAGCATCCTCAGCACCTATATGCCAACCGCTGGGGATGTAGAGCTGCTCCAGAGAGCTGTG